GTGGATGGATAATTTAAAAACTATTTGTGAAAGAGGCTGTTTTTGAGCATTTTGCCCTGATGATGGAAATTGCTGATATCATATATGAAACAGTGCAGATACCAAAGGAAGTGTGTCTGAAGACAACATATAAATGCACTTTCATAAAAGCAGGAAAGGAGGTAAAAAGACAAAGAAGAAAGGTAGCAGCGTTGGGGTGACAATGGCAAAGAAGATGCAAATTGTCTTGAGCCCATAAAAGGGCATATGCTATATAACAATGTGGTTCAACCATGATACTGTTTGAGTAGAGCATTTTGGTTGTATAATAAATGTGTGTTTGGGCAGTTTAATTACACAGGTGGTTGTAGATCAATGGTTAAGAGCACCAGCTCTGGAGCCACTTACACAAGACCCTTCCCTGAGGTTTCCCCATTTGTAAACTAGAGATAACAGCACTGCCCTCACAACACCAAGTGCCACTTGCACATCTTCATCTCATTTTCAAGAGGATGACTCTACACCATTTTACCTTGCTTTTTAACTCTACTCCCTTACTTCTTTGCATGTTGGGTTCAACATGGTATTTCCAGATCCTAGCACAGTGCAGATCAATGGTTAAGAGCACCAGCTCTGGAGCCACTTACACAAGACCCTTCCCTGAGGTTTCCCCATTTGTAAACTAGAGATAACAGCACTGCCCTCACAACACCAAGTGCCACTTGCACATCTTCATCTCATTTTCAAGAGGATGACTCTACACCATTTTACCTTGCTTTTTAACTCTACTCCCTTACTTCTTTGCATGTTGGGTTCAACATGGTATTTCCAGATCCTAGCACAGTGCCTGTCACTTGAGTTCCCAAGGTAGTTCCTCCACTAGTATTATTGTGGAGGAAAAAGTTCCATGGGCAAATATCTACATGTGATAAAGTGAAACTTATTTATTTATTGCAGAACTAGTTAAAAGTTTTAATATATAAAAGGGATACATGTCCACTTATATGAGGTACCTAGCATGGTCAAACTCAGAGGGAGACAGTAGATGGTAGTTGCCAGGACTGGAGGAAAAGGGGTTAGTGTTTACTGAGTAATAGGTTCCAGTTTTGCAAGATGTAAAAATATCTGGATATGGATGGTGGAGATGGTTGCACAAAAATGTGAATGCAATTAATGCTTTTGAATTGTATACTTTAAAGTGGTTAAGATGGTGAATTTTATATTATCCCCCACAATTAATTAAAAAGGGGGATATAACATCAATGCTTATTAAACTTATGTATTCATGGGACTCTTTTCTCAGGGCACATCTGATGGGATTGTTCTTGGAACCCACTTTTCTCCTGGCCTAGATGATAAACTCCTACAGGGCAAGGAATTGTAATTGCTATTTATTTATAATCCCACAGTTCTTCATTTGCTGATGGATTTAAAAGTGATTTTACAGCAAGAGTAGGACATCTGAGTGTTAGTTTTTCTGTATCAGTGTTTTATAAAAGATAGGCTTTGTGGATATTGGTAAACAATGACAAACCAGAGGTTTTAAAAAGAGAACTAGCAAAATAAATAAGTTTTAATGTAGTATCTCATGTACTGCATTGACACCTATCGCAGGAATGATTGGGAAGTGCCTTCTTCAACAAATCATTTTCAGAAGAATAGTAAGTTCACCATGATTTGCTCGCTTCTTTATACTGGGACATGTAGCCAAGAAAACAAAACTCCCATTGTAATATTATCAGCCAAATTTCCAAGGTTTATTCTATCTATTCACTGACTTTAAAAAAATCATTAAAAGAATCAGAGGATAAAATCCACTTTCTTATACAACCAAGAAGAAAATGCAGCTCTGTTTTGGTGAGGCAGTTCTCTCTCTGGGTATTCAGTCAGCCAGTAAAGGCCACTGTGGGAGTGGGTAATGGGGCAGACTTGAAGTGACAGCACTATGTACCTCATCTGCCTCATGTACTCAGAAACAATATCCCTTCTCGACTTTGCAAAAGCAAAGTAGTAAGAGCACAGGTATGTATGAGAGACCATTACATCCTTAATCCAATTTAGTTTTAACAATATTCTTGCATTTAAAGAAAAGACTTCTTGTCTTGAAACATCTCTGGTGTCTTACTTAAATAATCAGAGGGACAACTATTTCACAAACTAATTTTGTCAGTCAAGGTCCCCTGAGGCAACAAAAAGCACACTAGTTAATTGTAACAAAGAGACTTTAATATATATAATTGTTGACCAGAGATTTAGAGAAAGACCTCTGTTTCATACCAAGACAAGTAGAAGTCCTATGACCTGAACAACCAATTCAAAGTTCAGTGCAAAGACACAGTTTACATGTAGAAAGAATAAGAGAGTAGAAATTTATCTAGCTTTGGCCCGGGACAAAGTGAATGATTAAAAGGATGGTTCTGAGTCAAGCTTTCTCAACCTCAGCACTGCTGACATCTGGACTGGACGATTCTATGCGGCGGGATATTTAGCAGCATCCCTTACCTCTACGTGATAAATGCCAGTAGTGCCCCTTCCACTTCACTCTAGTTGTGATGATCAAAAAATGCCTCCAGACATTGCCAAATGTCCCATGGGGTGCAAAACCACCCCCATTTGAGAACCACTGGTTTACGTCATGTTACCTTAAAATACAGTAAAAGGAATCATGCTCCCAACTATATTAATGGATCACCCTGCATAAATGAATACGTTAGCCAGAGCAACTCTGCCCACATGAAACATAACCACAGAACCTATTTTAAATCAAATTAACAAACACAGAGCATCTATTACGGTATTGACTTGTGCAGTTGACATGGTAGCCACCCAACTACATGTTGGTATTAAGCACCTGAGACATGGCTAGGATGAATTGAAAAATGTGTTGTTAAGTGTAAAATTCACACTTTCAAAGTGTGATTTCAAATATTAAGCACATATTTTTTTGTACTGATTACATGGTAAAATAATATTTTGGATATAATGAGTTACTTAAAACATATTACTAAAATTAATTTCACCTGTATCTTTTTATTTTAAAAGTGGTTATTATAGAATTTATAATTATTCATGTAGCCTTCATTTGTAGCTTGTATTGGAAAATGCTGATCTATACACAGGGTGTACTACTGTGCAACTTTACTGCACCTTCTGAGAAACTCCATACATCGGTTTAACAGGCATATCTTCTTGGAAGGCAAGTTACCATAAATGCTGACTCAGGCATGCATGTAGTTTATAATTGTTCCAGTGTTTGTTCAAAGAATGAGGATTTAATTAGACACTCAAGGGCAAATCTAACACCTGGCAAGTTTATCATAAGAAAACACACCTATAAGGTTATCGAAAGCTTAACAATGAAAATGGCTATAGATTTTTTAAGGAATTCAAACTTCCCCTTAGACCAATACTTCCTTTTTTGCATAATTTATGTTCAAAAAGTTACTGTGAAATGGTAGTGTGTCCTTAGATTTTACAGTATTTGCAATTTGAAAACATCAAGTACATTTGTATAAGTATTACTTGCTGTTTTTACAAAAGCCCTGAGAGATAAGGACAGTTATTTACATGCTGAAATACAGCCCACGTGCTCCAGCAGAGCCTTTGGTTCCACATTCTTCCTACAAACAACTGCAGTTGCTAGTATTTAAACTCTGCTTTCAAATTATTTCCATATTTCCTAATACTCTATTATAGTCAGAAGGAAAACAGACATACACACATTAGAATATTGAGAAAAAAAGCTAACAGTTCTTAGTTGTTAAATGTCCTCAAACCTGGCATAAAGGAGGGCTTCGTTATTCATGCTTATTTATAAATTCTTATGTACATGATGTCCTTCTACAAAGACCGGAAACTAGGAATCTAGGCTAGTTTGTTCAAGTGTAAATGGGCAGCAGCTTTGCCCACCTAACTCTGTAGCACCACTCTAGCTTTCTTACCTTATAGCAATTACTTTTCTAATTTCCAGGGCGCTGCAGGCACTCTCGCTTGTTGAACGGTGAGCTAACTCTAAAAGTCCTCTCTAGATCTAGAACCCAGCAATTCTACCTCTAGGAGTGATAACCATACAGCAAGTCCCCAACATATGACAGTTCGACTTAACGATTATTTTACTTTAAGATGGTACAAAAGCGGTACACACTCTGTAAAAACCGTACTTTGAATTTTGATCTTTTCCTAGGCTAGAGATATGCCCTAGATATTCTCAAGATGCAGTAAGCCACACATCCCAGCCAGCCAGTCAGGCCCTCACAAGGGTAAACATCTGATACACTTACAACCATCCTGTTTTTCGTATTTGGCACAATATTTAATAATTACGTGAAATATTCAACACTTCATTATAAGATAGGCTTTGTGTTAAATAATCTTGCCCAAATGTAGGTTAATGTACGTGTTCTGGGCATGTTTAAGGTAGGCTGGGCTAAACTTTGATGTTCAGTACGTTATGTGTATCATTTTCAACTTCCAAGAGGTTTATCCCGCGGTAATTCCATGTTAACTTAAAAAAGATCTGTACTTATTTACGTATATTTAGATGAGAGTCTATGCACTTGACCTAGCACATAATGGCCCTCCCCTAAAGTCGTAATCATAATTACTAAGGCGAAGTTTTCAAGGGCGCAGAACTGAATCTACCTAGAGATACCTATTCAGCGCTCACCGCGCACCCAGCTCGGCGCTTTCTTTCCCTTCATTACAAGCCGCGGCTTCGCCTTTAATACCTTTTGCAAAACTCTATCAAAAGAGCCAACACTGCTTAAAGCCTTCATCACTTCCCGCAGATTCTGTGTCAAGCAGCTCATCGTGGACCGATCCGCGGCAAGAACAAACGCGGGGAAAGCGGGAGCCCAGCAACTCGCAAAACAAGGGCACTGAGGGCGAAGCCCAGCTGCGCGCTCCACCTATGGCGTCGCACGCCCCCGCCGCCTCGGGCCGCCGGGGCTACGCACTGACGTCAGCGTCCGCTGTGACCGCGGCCCCCGCGCAGACGTGCCGGGCGGAGCCCGGGGCGGCTCTCCGGCGGCGGCGCCGCCCAGCCCACTGTCCTCCGAGAGCGGAGCGCGTTTCCCCGCCGGGAGATTAAAGCCGAAGCGCCGAGGGGACGCGCGCCTGCGTAGAGCCGGGCGTTGGTCGTGCGGCGCGCGTAAGGCGGCGATCGGGCTGATGGACCCAGGGACCGGCCTCGGGGTCGGGCCGCGGGGGGAGCGCGAAAATGGGGAGCCCGCGGTGAAGAAGAGGCGACTGCTGTGTGCGGAGTTTGCCTCGGTGGCGAGTTGCGACGCCGCCGTGGCGCAGTGCTACCTGGCCGAGAACGACTGGGACATGGAGGTAGCTCTCGCCTGTCGCTTCCCGCTCTCTGCCACGTGGAGCGCACAGTCCGATGCTGCTTTCTTGTTTTTCAGAGAGCGCTGAACTCCTACTTGGAGCCGCCCGTGGAGGAGGGTGCCATAAAAAGCTGCCCTGAGGCCTCCTCTGAGCCCAAGCTCTGGTAAGTGATAACGGGAACCGGGAGCCAGTCCCCGCGGAGGTGGGGTGGCATCGGGCGCCCTGGCACCAGCCTTGGGGTTGGGCGCGCGTGGCTTGAGTAGGTGGTGGTCTCCCGTGTGAATTAACTCTGGCGAAAGACTTATGTGGGTGCTTCCGGGTGGAGACGCACCCCAACAACGGGGCAAACGCTTCTCTCCTGAAGTCCAGATTTTTCGAAAGTAATTTGAAGTCCTGGGAGGAAAAATCTGAAATGTAAGCGAGGGGTTCGAAATGAATGAATGAGGTAAAATCCCCTACTGAAGACCAACTTGAAAGTCTTTTTGCTTCCTGTATTGTTTGTTTAGTCCCTGACGGCCAGCTGGAATGATCATTTTTTTATAAAATGATTATTAAAAACCCTTCCCTCTTACTCCAATGCCGCCTCCCCAGTTCTTGCACTATTGCTCTCTAAGTCCGTATGCTTGGCAAGTTCCTCCACGGTTTGACCATTGCCTATATCTCTGAGAAGCTTTCCCTGATGTCCCAAGCCTGGGTAAGTCCCCCCCTTAGGTAATCCCCTAGCATCCTGCATAACCCCGTGTCATAATAACTTAGTTCATGTTATAATTGCCGTTTAATATTTTACATCTCCTACTACACTTGGATGTAATAACCTCTCAGTAAATACGTATTGAATGTATATGACTTACAGGTGTGATAGGACCATTCTGCCTAGCCTTTTGTTGGAGAATTACTCACCCACCAACATTGTTGTATCTCTGGTTCCTACTTTGTAATAGCGAGAGCCAGTTAGATTAGTATGTAGTCAGCTAGCCCAAGCTGGCCAGTTGGATCCTCTCTCCTGGGATTTTGGGATTAGGACCGAGAAAGTGAAGTCTCTAAATTATATGGTAACAGTGTATCACTGACAATTTTCTGACTTTTGATAATTGTATTCGGATATGTATGTAAGCATGTCCTTGTTTGTAAGAAACAGAAATATTTATGCAGACATTTCAGAATAAGATGAATAAAGCAAGTAAATGTTAAGTAAAATGTTGATTCATTTGAGTGAATGGTGAATAGAATTCTTTTTACTGTTTTTGCAATTCTGAAAGTCTGATATCACTTCAAAGTAAGTTAAACTTACTGTGTTGATCATTTTGCAATGTATATAAATATCACATCATTGTTGTGTACATCAAACGAATACACTGTTATATGTCAATTACACCTCAATAAAAGTGTTTTTAATTAAAAAATTAAAATACTGGCAATGAGTTTATTAGAATTAAATACAAAAACCTGTTTCTTAAATTTATGTATAGTTTATAAATGCTTAGCAGTCACCTTTTGATGTTTTGTCCCTTCTTTCAAATGTCTGGGCCTTGGTGAGCATAGTGGAAGATGGGGTCAGATAGGACTGTGGACCGGAGCACATACATGTGACTCTCCAGCATGACAGCCTCAGAGTGGCCAGGCTTCTTACAAGGCGACTCGGTTCCTGGAGAGAGTGCTCAAAAAGGCTGGAGTGGAAGCTGCAAGGCTTCTTATGACTGAGCCTCAGAAGTCCCAAAAGATCTTTTTCATCATATTCTATTGGTAAAGCAAGTTACTGAAGCTCAGATTCAAGGGGAGGAGTATTGTATTAGATGCACTTCTCAATGAGAGGACTGACAAAGAATTTACAGACGTTATTTATCTGCCACAAGGAGATGTTATTTCAAATATGATTTAAAATGAATCCAGGCAAATTTTGAAATCACATTTCTTGTCTAATTTGAGGTCATCCTTGATACAGTCATTTAGTGGTGCATGTCATCAAAGGATACTGAGTTGGCTCTGTTTAAGTGAGCAAACATTTTGATAACACTGTTAAGAATCTGTTTTTTCTCAGTCATATGACTTTTGCTCTTCTGTAAGCAGATACTTTTAGGGCTCTTTTTAAATTTATCTGTAAAATGAGAATTATAAATACAAAATAATTTTAAAATTAATGAATGTATAGATTATTTGTAAAGCTATGTTTCATTCTGATCTTGCCAGTGTTGACCTAACCAGTGAAGAAACAACTGATTCCATTGTTTCTAAAACCAGCACTTCTGAAAATATTCAGCAAGAAGATGGCAGCACATTCTCTTTCATTACTTGGAATGTTGATGGATTGGATCTAAACAATCTGCAAGAGAGAGCTCGAGGGGTGTGTTCCTATTTAGCTTTGTACGTATGATTGCTTCTGTTTAATGGTAGTGTGATAATGTGTCTTATCTATATCTACAGAAAGGGGAACAGTCATGGCGTAATGAGGGTAACAGTCAAGATTATGGGCTTTGGAGTCAGACCTGAGTTCCAAGTCCACCTTCCAAAAAAGCACTGAAGGAATGGACAGTGACTGTTTCTGAGGCAGGATTGTGGGCTGTAGTGGGGAGGGAACACTTAATTTTTGTCAGACGCCTTCTTGCACTAGTTTTCTTGTTAAACTTGGTGTATAATTATTGCTATGAAAATAAAATAAAAGTCTTTATCTACTACATACTCTTCTGTGACCTTTTGTAATCACTTGCGATCCCCTTTAGTTCTCTGGAGCTCAGTTTTCTTCATCATGGATAGTAACTATTCATGAGGTTTGAAAGATAATAACATTTAAAGCATGTTAGAATGTAGGACCATTGTAGCCTCTTAGTGTACTCGTTTGTTGTTAGTGATTCCAATTTTTTTCAGTGTTAAAGAGTCACATGTTTTTTTTTATCTTTGTAGTATTGTATGTTAAGTAGCACAGATCTTTCTCATTTCATTGTTAATAACAATCAGAATAAACAATGAATATTCGGTGTCCTAGAGGGTAATAATTTTGTGCTTCTTTAATGTGGTATTTGCCTAATCTTAGCTGCAGATGGAATGGTATACCTGGTGTTTATCATAAATTGATGTTTTTAACTAGGTACAACCCAGACGTGATATTTCTACAAGAAGTTATTCCCCCATATTGTAGCTACCTAAAGAAGAGAGCAAGTAGTTATGAGATTATTACAGGTAACAATATTC